CTATTATTCTGATGAAGGGCGGGTCAATGCTTATCTTTGCTTTAATGAAGAAGATGAAGAGATAAGTAGTCCACTTGTCAATGCCGTTGGTAAGAATCGAACTATATGATGCATTTTTCAATAAAAAAAAATCACAGCTCTATTCTATTACCTAAGTAAAAAGACACTAAACGTACCGACTTTATAAGTATACTTAATCCTATCGTGATAAAGGTCAAAATCTTGAAAACAAGTTATATTTTTTATTTTCATTCATTTTCATAATATGTCTGATATTTCGGATCTGATATTTCCCAAAAATATTGCGAACCGGTTTTTTCCTTCTTTAATTTCATCCGAAACTGACCGATAAGTTGCGTAGACCTTCTACATCAGCGTTTCTCAAATTTTTTGGTACGCACTTAAAACAAAATCTCCTGAAGAATGGGTATATGTAGAAAAACATCCAGGATTGATCTGTCATCAATTTTCTTTCGCAATTTTCTTTCGCAACCACCACTTTCACATTACTCGATCTCTACAATTACTGATTCTCTTTATGATTCTCTGTGATCAATCAATAAGAAATTAACATGCAGTTATAATGTGTATCGAATTTACATCATATTTTCCATTTTTGCAAAATTATAATGAATTGTCATAATAATTATTATGAAAGCAGAAAGACCTATGGTCAATAGCCCATTGCAGCAGTTAAATTTTATTTTATTTTTATTATTGTATTCAGTTTTTTTATTTTGTAATTTTACTTTTTCAATGAATATTATTATTAAGATTTATTGTCTAGAATTACACACAAAAAAACATAAATTCATAAAAACAAATCAAAATATAAATAAAAATACAATATAGAAAATAGAACCTTAAATTAATAGATATTTGTTTCAAAGTAAATTAAAAGTTTTGGAAGTAATATTTTTAATTATACTTAGTGTTTGAACTTTTATTAATTATAAAAATTATGTATATTTTATAATAATTGATACTAATATTTTCTTTGCTTTTGTTTATTAAATTCATAAAATTGAAACTTAAATTCCTCTTAACGCCGAAATTAATTAAATTAAATTTTAAAATATTTTCTTTTATTGAAACATATAAAAAGATATTCAACATTTTATTGTATTGCTCACAGTTGGGGTGCGAATTTAACAGTTTATATCAAATTTATTTCCCTTTACAGTCTGGTTTTTTAACAACGTTATCGAATTTCTTGGGTAATTGACCAACTATGCATTCCATCTAATCTTGAAATTTTTGAAGAAAGGGTAGTTGTTGGACCCTTTTTCTTATTTTTCACATATACCCCTGAAAGAGATGACGAAGCTCATCCTCTTTTCTTAATATTAGTTCCTTTTCCTTTTTTACATAAGGATTCTGTTATCTGGGTCCTAAATGCCAAAAGATCCATTTGGCGCTTCTTTTGTATTCCCAAAAGTTCTATGTCTTTGCGATATAGCGACATAGCAAATAATCTCTAAAATCCCTGTAATACTCATAATCTACTAACCAAAAGAATACTAACTAAGAATACACATGTGTATAGTCATTTTGTAATTATTTACTTACCTTTGAGTTTACAGCAAAACAATACTGAAAATATCACTACGTCAAAACATACAAAACTTGGATATTAACTGTAAACTATTGCTAAATTTTATTGTTAGACTAACAAATGCCAGCACGTGTTAATATTTTAAGTTAGGAATGTACTAAACATATTACACCCTACCATCCCTCGATTTTTTTTCTGTCTAGCATATGTCGCGAATTTGATACATTCGGCGTTAATAAGATATAATGCAGATTTTTTTATATAACATCTACTTTTTTTTACAATCTTTCTATATAAGAACAATAGGTAAATTGTTAGCGGTATAAATGTAATGAAGATGGTGAACTCAATAAATAATGCACATAAGATCATAAAAAAAAACACTAAAAATCATAACTACTCGTGCTGAAAATACAACACCGGTGTGTCGAGACTGGAAGATCTGGAGCAAATCTTCGTAAATAATGTGTTAATGCATTTACTTAAAATATTAACTATTATTTATTATACCAAATATATTTCAAATAATTATTTACAAAATATCAGATTTACATTTATAATTCAAAATTATAATACTAATATATCGGAATATTTTCAGAATTACCGTTAAACTATAAAATTTATTGTATCAAGTAGACTTATCACATTCATAATAAAATATAAAATTATTAGAATTTATTTAAAGAGAAAATGTCCAATGTTAATTTAAATTAAATTGAATACATTCATTATATTTATGTAAACGAAGGATTTTCTCAGTTTGTTTATAAAGTTTTATTTTATTTATTTATTTATTGAAAGCGTTAATCACATATTTTATGATTCAACTGCCAATAATGACTATTGTCTACACGCGAAAGCATAAAAATAGCTACATAATTACGTAAAATTTCGAGTACGCAACGCTAGTTTTATGGCATTCAGAAGTATCCAAAGCTCAAGCGAGGATGTGAACAGCTCCTTGGTCCGCCCGCACCTAACGACTATGGCCTCAATCCTTTGTCAAATTCTAGTGTTAACATTGATCAAAGTTGCTTTAAGTTCACATTGCAGAAACAATATAACGTTGAGCAATAATGTTGTAAAAGATAAGAATATTTCCGAGTGCATCTGCGATGAACAACAATGCGTTCCGTTGTGCTGTCCTCCGGGACAATCGTGGATCATTGATAAATGCACCGAAGACAGTAGTAGAGTGTTGGAATCGATATCGGTATACGGTGGAGACAAATTCATAAAGACGACCAAATTTTATCCGATGGTGAAACATCATTGCAAGGGCTACATAGTACATCCATCAGAAATACAATTTTACTTGCAATCAGATGGAACTCTTTACATCGAAGATGAATACGAGGACTTCGATAGTTACTGCTTAGGTTACTTTAACGATGATCAGGAATTACAAGTCCATTTCTGTGAAAAACCATCAGAAGTGAGCAAATCCATTGCTGATAATGTGTCGCGTATTGGTAAGAATGCAGTATACAAATCTGTAAGATATTTAATTTCACATAATAGTAGAAACAACATTTATTGCACAAAAAAAAGTTAATTCACTTAAATATTTATCATTATAATTATAAACATTTCAAAATATTATTTAGATTTAAAAGTGATAATATGCATAGTATAGTTGATAGTTTTATAAAACTTTTTTTTGTAAAATGCATAGTTTTAAGTTACGAAAACAAAACCTACAAATAACAACAGAAATATAACATTCATAACCATAAATAATACGAATTTACTACAACGTAAAAATAAGAAAAAATTATCATATTTGGTCTTGCTGCGAAAGAAGTTAATCATTTCCTATGCTATTTAAATAGATTAAACCGCACCTCGGTCACATGCAAACGCGTTCTTTTTCTTTTTTACCTAATTAATGGTTATATACAAAACTACAGGAATATCTGTATTTGGTACACACGTTGAACCTTTTTCGTGAATGTAAATAATGTAATTAAAACACGCAATCCATCAGCGGAAAGCTTTAGTGTAAGCTTTGATGATTATACATACTTGTACATTGTAGTTTATTCTTCGTGTATTTAAAACAAACAAGTTCGATCCGCAAATATGCAGCAAAGTATAAACATATCTTAAATTGTTTCGACTCCGTCAGATCATAGTAAAGGAAAATAGAAATAGAACTGTTACAAATAAAATACACATAAAAACTATTCTCTGTAAAGACTTGCACAAGAAATTATTGAGAAAAACGTTAAGAAAAAATAATGAAATATTTATAAGTAAGGAAAAATCTAAAATTTCTTACTAGTTTATTCTTACACTTAAGTTGAAATTCAGCAATTCTTCAATTAATCAAATAAAGAGAATTTTAAAATAAAATAAAACAATAAAAGTATAAGTTCCATTATAATGTATATTTTATTTAACAGCAATATTTCAACAACCATAAAATTAAATAATTAATTACAAAAATTGATATAATATCATGAATCATATCAAACGGATACGTTTCGCCCACATTCATAGATATTTATTTAAATCTTATCATTGTTGCAAAATATGCCCGCGTTGTAATAGTAAACAATCAATGAAAATATATAAATTATAAAAAACACAAGAAGAAATAATTCAAGTGTGATTATTTCAAGTATACAAATAAAATGTACACAGTAATTTACCCTTAAATATTTCTGTTTTTTTTTAAGTTGACCTTGGTTGGTAAACAAACAATCTTTATTTATATCAGTTAATCTGTTTGCAATATATACTCGGATAATTACTTTACTGAAAGGTGGATCGAATAAACAAACAAAATCTATGAAAGAGAAGACAGATCCTAGCATGAACACGTGTATAATTTTTGGTAAAGAAAATAAACACCTTGAACAACAGTTTTTTTGAGAAATTATTAATACTCTCACTGCTTTAAATAATGATAAATATATGCCAATAACAAAATATTTAAATAATAGTTAGTAAATTTAAAAAAAATGAGTTTATTAAAACTTTATTTTACTAACTAGTAATTTGGTTTAATAACAAATAATAACTAAACCTACATAAATATTTTAGTTTTATTAATTGAGTCAACACAACACTGGAGATATTAACAAATAATTTAAATATTGTGAGATTAAGAGTTAATTTCTGTGATATAAGTATTTCAATTATGTAAAAACTTATTTAAACTTTGGACGTAAGGACTGCAGTATTTGTATGTATACAATAAATTATGTTTATTTATATATATATATCTCACAGTAGGACTTCAATCAGTTCGAAATGTCAAAACAAACTAAAATTTAAACAAAAAACAGATAATTTTTTCGTTTTGTTTCTGTTTTACTTATTTCCTCGAATAATCCGATTTAAAACAATAATAAAATGACTTGCTTATAAATTTATATAATTATATAAAAATAATAAAGAAAATCTGTCTGTATATTATTATTATTGTTTTTTGTTACAGGAATGATAATTTCGATGCCATTTCTAATATTAACATTCATAGTCTACTTGTTACTACCTGAAAGGAATCTGCATGCGAAATGTCTGATGTGTTACGTCCTGTCGTTGGCCCTGGCGTATTTCTTCCTCGTCTTCATACAATTTAACAATAGTTTGTCGCCGGCCACTTGCGCCGCCTTTGGTAATTACATAAATAAATCCAATTTACATTATGTTAAATCAATCAATTTTCAGCCGCATTTTGCCACTACTTTTTCATGTCCTCGTTCTGTTGGATGAACATATCATGCGTGGATATCTTCTGGACATTCAGGTAATTATCCAACGGACATTTATACACTTTATAAGCGAAATTAAGTGCAAAACGCATTAAAAATAATATAGCGGAAGTTGCCTATGTATAATCTACAAGGTCTCTGTGTGCACACTTTTTCCTTCATATCATTAATATTAATATTTACGATTAGATTAACACTTAACGAATGAACTGAAATTTTAGTTGGCAACAATCCAAAAACGCAAACGCCAAAGTGTGTGTGTACATATTTTCAAATTTTGTTTGAAACTCTGTCTCCGTTTTTTTTATTGTTTTCATTGAAAACAAAATTCCGTTTTCCGAAACGCATTTTACTATTATAAGTAACTATTGAACTCTATAATATTAAAAAAGTATTATTACATAAATAAATATAAAATGTTATTAAATATTGTATCGATGTGTTTCAGTGGGAAGCGTGGTTTTGGACTGAGTAACAAATCGGCGGAAAGGAAGCGGTTTCTGATATACTGCCTTTACACATACTTGTTTCCTCTATGCCTCATCGGAATAATTTTCATTTTAAACCAAGGAGAAAAGAAAACTTGGTTTCATCCGCAATTTGGACATGGACAATGTTTCCTAGGAAGTAAATTTTCTTTCAATATTTAGATAACGATGGAAATTAACCGAAATATTTCAGAGGGTTATCCGCATCTGCTATATTTCTACGGACCAATGGGAATTATGCTCATCTTCAATGTCATCTTGTTTACCTTAACAGCTTTGAAGATCCGCCAAATTAACAGAGATACAGCTATGCTCAAGAGGCCAGAAAATAAAATGCATTACGACAGAGACCGACAAACGTAAGCTGTGAACTAAAGTATTCAATATGCGATGTGCAATGATTTCTTTATTTACAGATTCCAGTTGTATATGAAACTATTATTAGCGTTGGGTATAAATTGGACGATGGAATTTATATCGTGGTTGGTGAATTGGACACTGAACGATACCTACAAAGAGATTTGGTACGTCACGGATTTCTGTAACGCCATATACGGGGTTATTATATTCATCATCTTCGTCTGCAAGAAGAGCATCTGGATAATGCTGAAAAAGAGGTAAAATTTCTTACTAACCAACCTTTCTACCTTTTGTATTTCTTGTCTTTTTTTTTGGTTTTTTAGTTGGAATAATTTCGTTCAATTTTGTATATTAATCCGTAACTTTTTCATTCGTAATGTAATATTCTTAAGCCTCGGAGGAATTGAGCCTGTTTTAACTGTGGACATATTTTCTAGATACTATATATTCAAGGGACAACCGCAGAAGGCCAGGAGTTTATCGATGAGAACGTCCGCGTTCGAAATGAGTCAAACGGAAAAAACTGTAGTGTACTAACCAAGAGTACCAAAGATTCATAATGTGCCATAAAATACGATCAAATCTATTTTCTTCATCTACGTACAAATCTATTAGGTCTCTCTCTAATATTTAATTACTTTATATTTGTATATATTCTATTGTAAGTTCATTTTATATAATATAAGTAACCACGCGCATTTCTTTATTTACAATTGTATTCCACAAATAATGAATACTAGTCATTGCAATAAACATTTAATGAAAGATACAATTTCTAAAGTTAAAAAAAAATCAACACGAATTCTGTAGTATAATATTTATGCACCCTCATTGACCAGGTTCTGTTGCTAACATTTAATTAAAATATGATTATATTAGGATACCTTTTATTTTGAATGTGACTACTGTTTATTACCAAATAAAAGCCCTTCTTTCCACGTGTTAAGTTTATTATCATTTTTATATTTATACTAAGTATACAAAATTGATATTTCATCCGAGATAAAGAGTTAATTAACTGGGGAATAATTATCTAAAGCATGGACAAGCTTGACCTTCTCTCCAGGGACTCCTCTCTTGATGACATGCGGAATTGCCTTTGGCACCATGCTGCGAAGAAAATTGTAATTGAATTATTTTCCTAATTAACATCGCGATGCTAGGATAATTACTTGATACAATCGATGATTGGACAGACGGACAAACACATCGTGCAACCAGTACAATCGTCTGTCACTTTAGGAATGTGCGTTTTCGCATCGAACTTAATTGCTTGATAACCAGAATCGTTACAAGCCATGTAGCATTTACCGCAATTGATGCACATGTCCTAAAAAAAATGATTAATAAATATCATAATAAAAATTAATGTATTTTTCTTACATCGTCTATCAAAGCAACAACTTGTTTCTTGTTGTCTAACGCCTTGTAAGGTCCTACATGTTTCAACGCCCTTCCAATAACGTCTCGCAATTTCGGGACTTGAACGTTTCCATCAATCTTCTGGTCTGCAATGCCGCTTTCGTTTACGGACACAATCTCTCCATTCGCATTCACGTGCAATTTAGTCATTTGCTTTTCCCTTTCTTCTTTGTAATGCCCGAAATGCGGTAATTTGTTACCATTAGAATCGCACAGACTTCTTATTGGTATTCCCAATTGGTGTTTAAATACTGGTGGACTTTGTCCATCCCAACCATGAAGGCGGTTCTCCAAATACAATAAAGCTTTCAATCCTGTGCAATAGTCCTCTACAAGTGTGAAGTCCTGGTTCTGAATAGCGCTGCAAACTTGAAGAACGGACGATCCGGCTTGCAAGAATTGCAGAGCAACATCGGCGGAATCCACACCACCAATTCCCAAAATAGGGAATCCTGGTAGAGCTTTTCCGATAGCTGTAATAGCCCTTAAAGCCATAGGTCTTGTTGCATTTCCACTGACGCCTCCGTACGTTGTCCTCTTATCTAATCCTACGGCCGGCCATGGACTGGCATCTGCTTTTAAATTCATTAGACCGGAAACAGTGTTGATAGCTGAAACTCCATCAGCACCACCTTCGTAAGCTGCTGTGGCAATGGTTACTATATCAGTTATATTTGGCGTTAATTTAATGAAGACCGGAATCTTGACAGCCTGTTTAACCCATTGTGAAATACCTTTCACCAATTCCGGTTTCTAAAATATCCAAATTATCAACACGTATAAAATTATTCAAGTTGCTGCACATACTTGACCACAGGCCAACCCCATTCCAGACTCGCCCATACCGTGAGGGCACGACAAATTTAATTCCAAAGCATCAGCTCCGGAATTTTCAGCCATTTTTGCCAATTCCTTCCAGTCGGCTTCATTGTACGAACACATTATACTCGCAATGATCACTTTCGATGGGAAATCCTCCTTAAGCTCTTTCACGCTCTGGCACCAATAAGCGGCGCACTTTTCAGAAATCAATTCAATGTTCAAGAAGCATCCCTGCTGCGGTCCAAAATTGTGACCAGAAGTTACTCCTCTTATAATCCTCGGAGACACATTTGTAACAGTATCCTAAAATAGTTTTAGTTAAATTTAATGTATTATCACTTTTTAATAAGTACTTTATCCAAAGCAAATGTTTTGGTAACTGCAAAACCCCAGCCCTGCTCAAAGGACCTTCGAATCATAGCTGTGCTTGTAGCTGGAGGAGCGGACGCCAAACCGAAAGGATTTTCGAACTTAATACCACACATTTCCACTGATAAATCTACCTCGTCTATATCAGTGTGGAAAAGTGGAAGTTTAGGATCACTATTCAACGGCATTCCCTATGATAACACAATTGATTTAGTTTTATAGACAATCAATACTGACATAATTACTTGTAAATAACAATGCATGCGCCAAGCTGCGTTCTTTCCATCGTTCACAGCTTCAACGGTGGTTTCTGCAACTCCAGCTAAATCGCCTCCACAGAAAATGCCCTGAATGGACGTTTCCATGGTTAATGCATCCACAATTGGTAAATTAGAGTCGTTCAGTTTGATAGGGCTCAATGCCTCAATCACTGAAAACATACAGTTAACAATATTACTCAATTACTTCCGTGAAAATCTTACTCTCAGAATCTGTAAGTCCTGAACCGAAAGCAGAGATCAAGAAATTTGCTTTCAACGTCGTAAGTTGTTCCTCATCGGCTTCCCATTTTCCATTATCATTTTCAAACATTCTCTTAAAAGTAACCGATGTAATTTTTCCATCCTTAGTTTGAACATTGTGGGGTGATAGGAATCCCATAAGTTCGCATTTTTCCTCAACGGCAGCCGATACCTGTATTCAGTATATTATTATTATAATATGCATTAAGATTTTTTAATATTGTTAATTACTTCTTCTGGTACAGCTCTGATGTTACTGAAGCCCCTTCTGAATACTACGAAGACTTTTCGAGCCCCACAGCGCAATGCAGATGTAGCACAATCGAAAGCAGTGTCTCCAGCTCCGAGAACAATCACAGTTCCATGTAACTTTGGTAAAGATGAAGCCAATGCTTTGCAAGCGCACATTCCCGGTTTGCTGGCCTTAGCAACTAATGGAAGAAAATCCTTGGAAGTGTAGAATCCCATTTCAGAAGTTAAATGAGCAAACAACGGATTGGGTTTAGGTTGCGGTAATCCAATTCCTAAGAAGACTGCCTCAGCTCCCGAACTCAGTATGCTCTTGATGGTCAAGTCTTTAGTTGAAAGACTCCTCTTCGTTTCAATTTTCACACCTAAGTCGGTTACGAGGCTGATCTCGAAATTAACCACGGACATTGGTAAACGGTACTGCGGGATTTCAGCGGAACTGAGACCGCCCAAATATTCTTGCTTTTCGTAGATCGTAATGTCCGTGTATCCTAATCTTCCCAAGAAGGTTGCGCAAGACAACGATGAAGGACCGGCACCCAACAAAACGATTTTCCTATCGGCGCCTTTCGGTGTTGGCGTTTTGGGATCTCTGGTTTGCTTTACTCCCATTTTACTAAATATCTCGGTAGCAAATTGCTGAAGACCTCCAATGTTAATTGGACCCTCCTCTGAAGCTTGCAAATTGCATCCGCCAACGCAAAGATCGCTGGTCGGACAAACCATGCCACATGTTATACCCAAAGGATTGTCCGAGAAGATGGATTTAGCTGCACCATAGTAATTCTATAACATTACCACTTAAGATCTCTATTGATAAACTTCAATCAATTACCTTATTAGCGATGCTCGTAATAAATGATTTGACATCCAATTGCGTTGGACAAGACTTTTGGCACGGAGCATCCGCGCATTTCAAACACCTGGCTGCTTCTCTCAAAGCACCTCTTTCGCTCAACGTCGATGGTTTAATATCAGAAAAATCATTTTGCAGACTTGGACAACTCTGAGACAACAATTGTATAATTTAATAATAAACCCTATAATGAACTGTTTATTACTCACTCCGCATTTCGTGTCGGCATTTCTTTTCCAGTGTTGCTTATTCTTTTTCGTAACACTCGATGGCACTAAAGATGAGTAATTATGAACTCGAGGATTAAGCAAGAGGAGATTCTATAACAAAAAATATTGGAAAACTTATTTCTACAACATTTTTCAAAAAAATAGCATAATAGAAATATATAAGAATGTGCATAATTTTGTGTAAAAAATGCGTCAAAGATAACCAAAATCCATTGTAATCAATATTTTTTTAAGAGACAAAATTTAAGATTTTAACAAAAAAAGTTCATTTAATCAAAATAAAGTATATACATATTTTCTCACGTCTGTGTTAATTTTTGTTATTTATTTTAACATTACAAACCGCAAATTCTTCTATCTTGTGTGACGTTGTAGTCACTTACAATATGTGCAAAGTGCAATAGCTTCAAGTTGATAATCAATAAAAGAGTGTGACTACTTTATTGATGAAGTTGCATTTAGCAGAAACGAGACAAGAATTGTAATTACATAAAACAAATATCAAATAATAAATAACAACACATCAATAGAAGCGAATGAGCAGTTTCAAAAATCGTTACAGCAAATTCGAATGTTAATTATTGCATTGTCTGTAAAGAATACTAAGTGTTTTCTATGCTCGAACATAAAGCAAAATATTTATTGCATTTGTTTGTTTTCAATTATTTGATCAAATCGAATACTGCACAAATACAACGATGACCTTTTGACCTCCTCAACCAAAATTAATCAAATAAGGTGTAGCATAATCTGATCCAATTGCTTATCTTTAATCTCGAGTACTCGATATATTACATATTTTATATTTATTTACAAGGTTCTTAAACAATCAACAGCAACATAAATATAAACCTTTTTTTCATTTAGCGGTACGCTAAACTTGTTACGTTAGAAACTAGTTTTTTTTGTTTAATATCAAAGGTCACCATGCAAATTATATTATGTGTTCTAATAAGCACGCACTGCGAATGGATTAAAAATGTCTGTTTTGATCGACGCAAAACTGAAGTTAATCAATGCGTCAATAGATAATTTTAACGATAATTACGTTTAATTAGTTTAAATATTATTTAATAACATTGTTAGACATGTAATTTCCGTATCAATTATTGAACACTTAAAGTAAATCATATAAAAGTGTTTTGCCCTATATATTAACCATGTTTTGATAAGATTATAAATTTCTTTTACACCCTGATAATTATGATATTATGAAATTGCGCAATTGAGCAGAACTTATCCTATTTGCGTATGTAAGTAATTTATCTTATTTGAAGTTGACTCTACTAGTGTTATAGGCTTAAATGTATAATTAGATTTTTATTTTGGTATAGAAGGACTATTAGAATTTAAATTTAAGATATACTTGTGATTATGAATGAATAATTGTAAGAAGAAGTTCATTCAAAAATTGGTAAATACGTTACCTCGATGTCGGGAAGATCAACGCTGATTTTAGCCATGGTAAAACACACTGGTTTTCGACCAAAGCAATAAAATCGAGAAAAGTTAAAAGTAAATTGATTTACGTTGTAGTTATCGCTCGCACTGTCTGCTCGATACTACGTGTCGGAGCGAGCATTATTTTGATTTTGTGCGCTCTGCTACATTGAAGGTCAACAACGAAATATCTAATCAAGCTACATAATGTTTCCAAGCCAAGATAAATTCCTTGTTTTCAATTATCTATGGAATACGTCTTCCACAAACGCAAAAAACAGAAGCCAACTAACCAGAAAACTTATTTTTTTACTCTTTGTCATTGTTGTCACATCACACATGGCTAATTTAAGAAGACAAACTATCTAAAAATATAAGAGAACAAAAATAATTATTATACATTTGCAAATATTAATGGATTAATAAAAAGAAGAAAAAACAAATGTTCAGATATAAATATGTGAAATTGAAAACTACTCTTTATTCGAGACTGAAAGAGGATACAGCCAAATAAATCAATAAAAATATTCAACTATTATCTGCACTGAATAAAAAATGTGGAATGAAATGAAATTCTCTGAGATAAATTTCATTATAAATATGTAACAAGATATTAATTTGGCACTATCTTGTGGTTAAGTAGTTTTAAAAGATTACTAGACAAGAATTATGCAAATAACTGCAATAAATAATACAAATTTGTATTGTCAAGATACTGGTATGTGTATACTAAAAGATAAAATTATTCCTTTATATAAAATAGAGAATACAAATAGAAAATAATTCTAGTTCTGACTTAATATCGTAGAATCCAGTTTTGTATTCAAATACAATTTCAATATTTATATCCAAACATTCTTCCATGCAAGTTTCAAGAAATAAATTGAAGCCAGTAGCGAACCGTGGGCCCTGGGCTACAACCTTTTGGAAGCCCTAGACTAACACTGTGGTCTGAGGTCTCAAATTAACTAAAGTTTGTGTTAGTTGGTTTTATTTTTATTATTTCCAATTTTCTATTGGGTACGTCTCGAGGGGGCTTTTGAATTTCAATACTTACCTTTGTTTTAAAAACATTTTTTATCAAATCGTATTAATTTGAAGATATTTTTCTACATATTATAATAGTTTAATACACTTCACAGGAAAGATCAATGGCCAATATAACACCGGGGGTCGATTACCACCTACAAGTTAATTGATAGAGCTGTATTGCCCAAAATAGTTATGCTTTTCCTATTATTATCCAATAAAAAAATATTACTTTTCTTCATATAAGATTCGCTTGCCATTTTATATATAATAAATTGTTGAATATCGAATGAAATTGTAGTTCAATTAATATAAATGTAAAAAGTCATTAAACATACAAAAATTCTCATAGATCTTACATAAATTCAATCATACAAATCATCTTTATATGTTTAAGAACTGCATCAGTTATATCATTTAAATCTCATTAACTCAAACAAATACCTACAATATTATACAATGGTATCTCTGATTATTTTAAATTTATCGCCTCTTGCCAAGTTCCGCTTTGGACAAATGCCAGTTTGTCCATTCGGTAGACCCGACCCTGTATCATAAATAATAAATAAAAATTATGATAATTTGTCAAATACTAGATTTAAAAGGGAGTAAAGAAATTGGAGAAGATAAATAGGAGAGTGCGGCTTGTGAATGAATATATTTATTCTATAAATCTTATAATAATCAATAATATATTTAGTATTTACAAAATACACACAGTCTGTAGTTATGACAAAATGGCGCACATTTATTACTAATCTCAACAAAAAGAGTTAAATAAATTGCTTTAAAATAATAATAAGAATCAAAGAAAATACGTATTACAAATTAAAGAACATATGAAAATTATTTGCATATATAAATATACATGTTCGTATATGTATATATTCATAATTATATAATAAAATTAAACAATTAAACTTTTGTTATTGTTTCTCTGGGGGAACGAATTCCCGAAGATAAAAAGTAAACCTTATAAAATACAACAAATCCACATCCGTGTTTCAGAAAGAAGCAAACTTAAAGAAGGAAAATAATAAAAGTTATAGGTAAAAATAGAAAAATCTAGAATAATAGTAATAGTAATAATAATAATCATATTAAAAGCTAAACAATTATTTTATTTATTTTTTCTCAATTAGTTTTTTTTAAATTATTAACAGTTATCATTAAGCCTTTCATATTATTTTTTTTCTCATCAGTAATAGAACAATACCATGCATTACTATCCTGCTAGATTTGTCACATATATATAATAGATTTACATGAATTGCACCATTTACAAAAAGTTTTTTTTTAGTTTGTATCTCCAGTATCGTAGAAAGGCATCACAATGCATGGTATCTAGTAGTATCTTTACACCTAAACTACCTTAGTTACTGTACAAAAAAAAACACATTCTTGTTAACAATTATTGTATATCAAAAAGCAAGTCTATTAATGTAAATAACTAATCAAATCTTAATCAATTATTACAGTTAAGTTTTATTTGTTGTTGTTGTCGGATTAATCAAAGTGTGTTTCGAAAATGGTTGGTCTCAAGGCAACCCCCAGCTTCGGGGTGCGATTGGCGCGATAGGACAAATTTTGAAAATTAGTTGCGAAAAATGGAGACGAATATAATAATAATAATAAAACAGCAAAATGCGAGACTAGAATTTCCATTTCAACGTACAATTATTATCATTTGGATTGAACGAATAAGAGAACATCGGCGATCTGTGAAGTCGAAAAAGAGGAAAAACACATTTTCGAAAAATTGTTTAAATGCGAACGACAGAGAAATAAAAGAAACAGCATTTTAGCATTTATATATTAATATATATATATACCTGTTTGAACACATAATGTTTCTTCATTTTTCTAGCTCTTCTATATATATATACCCCTATATATGTATATAATATATTTAAACTACAAATTTATTTAAAATATAATTTCCATTTACATATAATATACGCATAAAACGTCTGTATTCATTTTTTTCACCTTCTTCATTTATAACTCTATAAAAATAATAATAATAATAAAAACTAAATCATTTTTAAAAAACGTTACTTTAAAATATTTTTTATATATATATTTATATAAATTTTGAAATAATCACATTTACACACTCACACACTTTGTGCTTAGTAGTATAGTTTTATCTTACCGGTTTTACTTGTTTTTTTTTAATATAATTAATAACTTGTTGCTTTTCTTCCTTTCCTTTATTAGTAATGTTGGCCAAAAGGGGAAATTCTTCCACTTGAAGGCGGCATAGCCCGACAATTGTTTCCATTATTAGACATTGTTATTGTTTTGATCTCCTTCCTTCCTCCGTCTGTCCTCTTCCTTTATTTTTTTTTCTTCATATTCCTCTTATTCTTCTTTGTATATTTTTTTATATATATTTTTGTTAAAAGCGAATGAAATGAAACCTAATCTGCGGGGTTTTAAAGGATGGTACATTTACGCTTCGGTTTGACTGGCATCACTGGGCACAATACGGCTCGAATAGCTTCGTCAAATACGGTTTTCAATCCTTTCTGTGTCAATGCAGAACATTCGAGGTACTTCACGGCGCTTATTTCTTTGGCCATCGCCAAACCCTTCAAAAGAAAACAGAATACAAATATTAGCATATTCAGAATACAATATCTTCATAGTCTATAGACATTACAAATTGGAAAACAAATACTTTAAACATTATTAACATATTTTAGTCATAGTATCAATTCCACAGTATTATCATTATTATAAAAAAAATATAATTAAATAAACAAATTCTCAATTCTACTAAACTAAATATACTAATAAAATTTTCAAATAATTTATAATCTTAAATAAAATAATAGTTAATAGGCAGAAAATTATAATGAACTTTAAAAATTAATAGCGCATTAATATTTTAAACATTCAAAACTTTATTTCCTTCATAAATTGAAAAGTCGTTGTTTCTTGAGATATGCAATATAATGCAAAATATTGACAGTAGTCATATCATATATTAATTTCTCTTTTTTTTATTTAATTTATATTTTGAACATGTCTAGTGTGTCATTATTATAATTGCCTAGGAAATGTCCAGGAAAAAGGGATTATCCATTAATTTGATTGGTATGTCAAAGGATGAATCTTTATAGTCGATACCATTTGATGTTGATTTAGTTGACGAAGCTGTCTGATTCAGTCTAGAAATTAGTTGGGTCTAGAAATGTAGGAATTTCTGGCCCCTCAAAGAGTTAAACAAATTATATATGTTTAAAACATTCACTCACTTATTTGTATTATATAATGAATGTTGGCAATAACTCTTTCTTCAACATGTCATATTTTATTACTAAAAACAATATTTTTTTGTAAACATATTAAATGATATTTTATAAATAGATTATTTGTGTGGAAAAACCTATGATCGTAACCCTTCCATTATTGTTTTATTAAATGTAATAAAATTTTCATATGAAACTTGAAAGCAGTTTACGCTTATCCTTTTACATACTAATTATCATTACATATTATCTATATAATACGTCCTACTATTTAGTATTCCACCACTCAAAGTTTAAACTGCATACATATTTAAAAAGCATAGTTACATACCATTTTAATTATAACCTCGATATTGTATTTTTTGCTAAGATTCATATGTAATAGTAGTCCAAATGTAATAAATTTCAACATATGCACATTACTAAATCATATTTACAAAAATAGTAAATAAGCATTTATGTATACAGTGGAACCTCGCTTAACGAGCATTTCGCTTAATGAGTAAAATGTATTGTAAGTAAAATGACTCGCTTAACGAGTGACGTTTCGCATAACGATGAGAAGAGAAGTCCCGGATTGCGCACATCAGTTTTAAAATTGTATTTAATTTGAAATTCATCTAATCTAATTATCCTATTTACATTCCATTTCATTATAGACTTATGATGTATAAACATGCCTACACAAAACAAAACTATTGTTATACAACTTTAAAACAATTAGTGTAGTGAACTTCAACAAGTGGTGTACATCCTGATTTGATTTGAATGAACCTTTGCATTCCATCATACTATTGATTGATTCACATGACATATAAACAGAGCAATTATCGGTTTCCTTTTAAATTTCATACAATAATTGTGATTGAAGTCAGTAATAATTTTCACACTCTTCTGTTATTCCACTGGATAATTTAATTTATGTGCGTCAACTGTGCTTTAACAATATAATTTTACTGTATGACAATTACTTAACACATAAACTTTATACACAATACATAATTCAACTACTTTCTCTACCAACAATTATTTCTTATCATGTCTATTACTTAATTTCGATTTGTGTATATACATTGGTTATAGACATATAATATTTATAGAAATTAACAAATATTATTAGTTTAAATTGATAAGTCTTACCAATGGACGTCATCAGATGTAATCAACAAACTATCTACCGCAAGAAATACTATGTCAATTGTAAGTTGCTCATCAAAAACGGATGGCGTCTGCGATGATTAATCGACATATCAAGAACCACACCAATTACATACTAAGAATTTGTTCGAATGACTAATCTTCTCCGTACATAAAAAATACGTGCATCTGATGAATGAAACTTACAGCAAGTGTACTGTAATTTATACACCGAACAAAATACTAATAATCTTGTAAGAATGATGCTTGACTCATTCGTAATAATATATTTATAATATTGAAAATTAATTTAATTTTTTCATTAATAATAACAGAGTTATTATTTAGACATATGGGTATAAAATAAGTAATAAATAACAGAAACTTTATTTTACTTACAGATGGATAGGTAATAGGCTGCAGTTTCTTGTCTTTAAGCTTTTCGATTGTTTGTCGATCGTCACGCAAATCCAACTTTGTGCCAACAAGAATTATTGGAGTATTTGGACAATGATGTCTCACTTCTGGGTACCACTAAAAATTAAAAAAAAAACGAAATCAATAACAGTTTAATTAAACATTGCATATTGTTATTATAATAAGAGTCATTACATATTCAATCAATAAAAAAAGTTAATTAAGAAAATTATAAATGATAAAAGAATATAAATTCCCTTAAAACGTTTGCTATAAATTATTTATTTATTGAATTAGCAACCACAACAATAACACATTCACTGATTCACAGATTCTATGAGAAATTTCAGGCTTTCGGAAGTATATCAAATTAATTTATAAAAACAGAAACTTTAGTATTTGTTATTTTAAAAAATAAATTATGTTAGTGAAATCAACTTTACGCAATTTTAGTGTAAATAATGGAAACTATTACTAATTATAAACATATTATTCAAAATTTATGATTTTGTTCTGTCTCCGTTTTCTGCAGTTGATGAGTTAATTATGTATATAAATACATTTCATAATACATTGATTAACTTTCGATTCATAAATAGTGTTTATAATGTAGTTAAGTTAACGGATGCAACTATTAAACGAGTTGAGTACATTTGAAATAAACTATTTACATGGTGGCAGGAATTATTGATAATGTTCATTTCGATGTTCCCTTTCCATGCTATTGAAAAGAGAGTGTTTTACAAATATACATGCTGCAGACAGTATAATCTACATAGAGTAGGAAACAGGAAACATGAATCGCTATGCGATAGAGAAGTTACATCGAACGTAGGTATCTGTATCTCTGGTTTCTTGCTTCGGTACAAATCTTATCTACGCGTTTTTTACGTACAACTTACGTCAGTATGAAATTCCCGATATTCGAAACATATCTGAATCACATTATTTTTGTTAATATTATACTTACTCATGGAAAATTTAGTAATTCAAAAAAACGCGGTTAATAACCCTGATAGTAATTCTTAGGATAAAATACTTTGTATAAAAATCATAATGAATAACAAACACTTTACTTTAAGTAATTTAAAGCAATATTATTCTCGAAAAAATAATATTGTAAATTAACACATTTTTAATTTTTCCACGGAATTGAAAAGCCGATTTAAAGATATAAAGTAAACTAAATTTTATAGTTGTTTGTCGCAATAGTGAAATAAGTACGAGTAAAATGTAATCATGCAACAGTTGCTCAATATAACTTGTATAGCTTAAAATAAAGTACGGACTGTTGCATCTATCCTCAAATCTCATAAACTCGAAAACATATTCCAAGTGTTTACTTTTCGTAATATAAACGTAGATTTTTTTTAGTATTTTTGCTCCTGATTTATAAGTCAACTTGATGCTCCTTTAGTTTAAATAAACCTTTATAATTGGCATTTCCTAAATTGGTAGTATATATCTATTGCATAATAGATGTGAAGTAAGCTAAAGAAAATAATTTAAATATCCTGTTTTCAGTGTTAATCAACCTTGAAAAACCATTGTTAAATGCCCTACGTGTAGCAAAGCGTAGTGACAATAATAATCCAAAATAGACTGTTACACTCCAAAACAACAACAAAAAACTATATGAATAGGTGGCTTACCTTCGCTCGGACGTTCTCGAAAGATGCTGGATTCACCAAGGAGAAACATATCAAAAAGACATCAGTTTGAGGGTAAGAAAGCGGACGTAAACGGTCGTAATCTTCTTGACCAGCCGTATCCCACAAACCTAAGTTGATAGGTTTTCCATCCACCATCACATTTGCGGAATAATTGTCGAATACTGTCGGGATATATTCGCCCGGAAAGGCGTTTGTCGTGTAACTTATCAACAAACATGTTTTACCAACGGCACTGGAAACAGAAACAAAGTTAGTCCATTCATTCAACAACTACCATTTTGGCTATCAATGATGCATATGCGTAACTTTATTAATAGATCACATAGTCCCACTATTATATATTTAATTATCATACAGGCAACGTAGCGACGGCCCAAAAAAGCTCGTCTAGACATTAACCTAAACGCACTTTGACATCTTCATCAATCTAGTAAAAACTTCTTTAATAGATCTAATAAGTCAGTCATTCAATTATGGTAAAGTTGAAAATAATTTTAAAAAAATAAGTTGGTTTTATAAATTAATACCAAATATATTTGAAGTTTACAAGAAATTGCAATTCATTACTGAAGAAAATGAATTATATTTATAGGAATGTAGGAAATTGTTCCATTGAATAGTTGATGTTTAATAGCTTATGAAATTTAAGCACATGTACCATTTAATAGAAAAACACTATAATATAACATAATATGCGTTATTTAATAGAAAATTAAGATCTTAACATACATATGCAAAATTTTGTGAACGAATTATAAACATCCCAAACATTTACCTAATCGGTATAATTAAAATAATGATGTTAAAGAACACATAAATAATCATTCATAACATAATCGTTTGCAGATAATTCAATCGTTACAGTGCTTTTTGTGTAAAACAATTGATAAGAAATGTCAGCTCAATGTTGTAAAACGTTGATGAAATATACATAAGTGATTAGATAGATTAGATATTACATTACAGTTACTTTTCTCGCTAATTTGCTGTTTTTTTTTTCAAAATTACTAAATATCCTAAACATAATTACTAAATATTTGATTTAAGAATGCAATTGCAGTTTAATTAAATATATTTAGTTTTACAAATTTCATAATATCATAAGTTTTTGGTCAAATATTGAACTGATTTAGTTATATAAATATTATTTTCAATATATTTCAGGAGTAAATATTTGGAAACGTCGAAAAGTAGATTTCGCTCAAATATGTATTATCAAAGTTAAAAATAAATAGGCGATATTATGTCAGGATTTAAAAATACGAACGTTTTGACAAATACGAAAGTCGAATGTAATTGAGGTCTCGTCTCACATGGTCTGCTCACACAAGCAAGCTGTGTGGACAACAGAGGTAATGACCGACGTATAAAATAGGACTTTAAATAATTCATTTGATCGATCACAATATCGATGTTACTGCTGAACAGCCGAGATTAGATAAATATTCAGTGTAACGGTATTTGAATAATTATATAATTTATCGAACGGCCAGATCTGCAAATCGGTTGTAGTAAATTATCTGGGACAGCGATAATGAATATCCTCGAAAGAAACAATCGACGATCATTTGTGGCACTTGTTCCAGACTAGAATATGTGATGATGCGTTTTGCGCCAATGCAAAATGAAATTATTCATCCAATCTCTGCCATTAAATTGAATGACTGCCGTATGCAGCACGTAAGTGTGCATGCCTCTGTATGACCCCCTGTGTGGGATTTCTTGAAAGTTAATCCACAAGTGATTCAAGCCTAGGGTGTCAGATTTTTCTAAGGTCTTTTTGGCTGAATGGATCCGTTCTATGGGAGGGAAACCCTCCCGAAAAACATAAGAAGAAATGACAAAAAAAGGAGGCGAAAGCGGAGGAAAAACAAGAAAACAATCGCAACTCACCCGTCGCCGACGACAACGCACTTTATTGCTTGCATCCTGGCTGGCCAACAAACCTAAATTTATAAACGGCACAAATTGCTTTACTGTCGAATTGTAATAATTAATTTCGTGGATTCGCTGGGTGTGTGTATACTATATGCGAGTCTTTCTCTCTCTCTATGTATTTAATCTAGAACTACAAGGCCACGATTGCACTACGACCACGGACACAGCCCTCCTGATAATTGAACTATCATCGCACAAGGAAATTGTTCCAACTTAAATCTACTTGTTTTCAGTTACTTATACACTGGATTTGATGTACCACACGTAGAGCAGTTCCTAAATATTCACACCACAGGGACTCCGCTACAAGACCATCCTCTCTACTATCTATACCGAGAAAATCGAGATACGCCCACAGGAACCTACTTTACCCACCAACACAAAACGTATCCTCGTAAGCATCAGCGTCCCATAACCAACAAAATACCTTCGAATGCTTCAAATATTTCTATACATTATTTTATTCCATGCATACTTTAAACTAAATACAAGACTATTAGACTCTTTATTTCCAAAAACATATACAGTTGGCTGTAGTGCAAAGTAATGTCAATTTCCCACCAACGCACAGCTCGATTATGTAGTGTCAAAATTCAACTCCTACTTAATAAAAAAAAACAGTCCTAAGTTCAAATTAATATTTATAATATTTCATTTACTATTAGACTATAAATGAGTACAAAAATCTTTATTTATACCTAATTAAATATTTGCCTAGTCAGAAGTATTTCTTTTCTTATTCAGACAATAAAATCATATTTATTTACTCATCCAACAAAACGTTCTATTCAACGTCTTTTTTTGTGTATCTTTAATTTTTTCGGTTGCTGTAGGTTGGTAACCATGCCGGTTGTTCACAAATGGCGGTCAATGGTTGAAGATGTGCGACGCATTTTTTAATCCAACGTTATGAAGTGTTTTCAACATATATACATAGTTTAATACTGTAACGATCGAGTGAAAAGAACCCAGAAATGTAAGTTAATAATAGTATGTAATTAAAATATATCGTATGTTTCAACTGAATGCTATTGAAAATTAACGAAATGCGAACGTTTTATGTAGAGGTTATGTTTGGTGTTTAGACATCACTTCCATTATTTTTGTATTTCAACAATTGATTAATTTACAATTAAACCTATTTTATATAATATGATTATAGTCTAATATACATATATCTCTAGGATTATTACAAAGAACTAGATTAGAGCTGCATTTAGTAAAATGACCATTTAGCCTATTTAACACAAATGTAAGTAGTCTACTTGAAAGCTATAAATTATAACTGCTAATATTTTATATAATGAAGTAAGAACTTATATGAATATTTTGTTTGTTTTTAACAACATTTTGTTATTAATTAATAATAATTTGTTTATTGGGCAAGTAACAAAATCAACAACACAATTCCAAGGCTAACAGGAACCAAATTATTTTACATATAATTTAGTTACATATAAGTTATAAAACAGTTCTTCAAAATTTAATTTTTGTTGTTTTTTTTAATTAGATGTCGATACCGCCATATCTTCTGGGTCCAAACCCATGGGCCACTATGATGGCTCAGCAGCAATTTGCTGCAGCTGCTCATGCACAAGCTCAAGTAGCAGCAGCACAGGCCCATGCTCATGCACTGCAGCAACAGATACCACCTCCTTATCCTAAGTCAGATGTAATGACTGAAGATAAGTTGCAGGAAAAAGGTTTGTTTAAAAAAAAAGATAAAAAAATATGTATAATAATTTACTTTTATGTGCAGCTCAAAAATGGCAGCAGTTGCAATCAAAGAGGTTTTCGGACAAGAGAAAATTGGGTTTCGTCGATGCCCAGAAAGAAGATATGCCTGCAGAACATTTAAGGAAGATTATTAGAGATCATGGTGACATGAGTAGCAGGAAGTATAGACACGATAAGCGTGTTTATTTAGGGTAAGTGTTAATTAATTTTATAATGAAGGATTATATTAATATCGTTTTTATTAGAGCTTTGAAATACATGCCTCATGCAGTAATGAAACTGCTGGAGAATATGCCTATGCCATGGGAACAAATCCGTGACGTCAAAGTACTTTACCATATCACAGGTGCTATTACTTTTGTAAATGAGATTCCCTGGGTAGCTGAACCTATTTATATTGCACAATGGGGGTAAGTTTATAATTTACAATTATATTTATGTAAAATTATTTTACATGTGAAATATTATTGTATTAATTACTTTGTATACTATAAAATTAATAGATGTTTGTCTTCTTTCTTAGTACTATGTGGATTATGATGCGTCGCGAGAAAAGGGATCGTCGTCATTTCAAACGTATGCGTTTCCCGCCATTTGATGATGAAGAACCTCCATTGGATTATGCGGATAACGTACTAGATGTTGAACCTCTAGAAGCTATTCAGATAGACTTAGATGCCGATGAAGATGCAGCTGTGGCCAAGTGGTTTTACGATCATAAACCGCTTGTTGGAACAAAGTAAGTTTTAGTAAATGTAAATATAATGTTCATTATAATACTTTACAAATTACTTGCAGATATGTGAATGGTTCCACATACAGAAAATGGAATTTGTCACTACCAATGATGGCAACTTTATACAAACTAGCCAATCAATTACTTACTGATTTGGTTGACAATAACTTCTTCTACCTGTTTGATACGAAGAGTTTCTTCACCGCTAAAGCTCTTAATATGGCTATTCCGGGTGGACCTAAGTTCGAACCCTTAATAAAAGATAGTAACCCTGCGTAAGTTTATTCAATAATAATATTGTGATATTATCTAATTTGTCTTATTTGTGCAGCGATGAGGATTGGAACGAGTTTAATGACATCAACAAAATTATTATACGTCAACCAGTGAGGACGGAATACAGAATTGCCTTCCCTTACTTGTATAATAACATGCCACATTATGTACATTTGTCTTGGTAAGCACAATTTTTATTTAGTAACTTTATATTACGTTCAATCACATTTAGTTTTGAGATGTCCAATTAGTTTATTTGGTATATTTTACTAATAATGTGAAATATTAAAGTGCGGTTGATATAGGATTTCTTAACTAGTACCAAAAAGTGATCCGCTGTTGTCGCATACATTTTAAATTTCATTTATATATAATGTACAAATATACTTCATTTTAGTCATAATTTTATTTTGATAATCAGCTAACATTTATTTGCATGTTTTAGGTATCATGCTCCAAATGTGGTATACATTAAAACAGAGGATCCAGATTTACCAGCTTTCTACTTTGATCCTCTCATTAATCCAATTTCGCACAGACATGCTGTTAAAAGTTTAGAACCTCTTCCTGAAGACGATGAGGAATATACATTACCCGATACGGTACAGCCTTTCCTTCAAGAAACACCTCTTTATACTGATAATACAGCCAATGGAATTTCATTGCTGTGGGCTCCACGACCATTCAATATGAGATCTGGTATGTTCAAGATAATATACTACAAGGTTTTCTTATTAATCTGCTGTTATTATAGGTCGTTGTCGCAGAGCTATTGATGTACCCCTTGTAAAAACATGGTACAAAGAGCATTGTCCTCCAGGACAACCCGTCAAGGTTCGAGTCAGTTACCAGAAACTGCTTAAATATTTCGTGCTGAATGCATTGAAGCACAGGCCTCCAAAGGCTCAAAAGAAGCGGTATCTTTTCCGTTCCTTCAAATCTACTAAATTCTTCCAAACCACTACAGTGGATTGGGTAGAGGCTGGTTTACAAGTATGCCGCCAAGGCTACAATATGTTGAACTTATTGATTCATCGCAAGAATTTGAACTATCTCCATTTGGATTACAATTTCAATTTGAAACCTGTCAAGACTCTTACCACAAAGGAAAGGAAGAAGTCACGTTTCGGAAATGGTATTGATCTGTGCATTTTAATTATATTGGTTTTAATTGTTCATTGTTTTAGCTTTCCATTTATGTCGAGAAATTTTGCGTTTAACGAAATTGATTATTGATTCCCATGTACAATACCGACTTAATAATGTCGACGCTTTCCAATTAGCTGATGGTTTGCAATACATCTTCGCTCATGTTGGGCAATTGACGGGAATGTACCGATACAAATACAAATTGATGAGACAAATTCGAATGTGTAAAGATTTGAAGCATTTGATTTATTACAGATTTAATACTGTAAGTATTTAAACCTGTTAATTTTTTTAAAATCTTATTCTAATGATATTTTATGTATAGGGTCCAGTTGGTAAAGGTCCAGGATGTGGTTTTTGGGCACCAGGATGGCGTGTGTGGTTGTTCTTTATGCGTGGTATCACACCACTCTTAGAACGTTGGTTAGGAAACCTGCTCTCTCGTCAGTTTGAAGGAAGGCATTCAAAGGGTGTTGCTAAAACTGTTACTAAGCAGAGAGTCGAGTCTCACTTCGATCTTGAGTTAAGAGCTTCAGTTATGCACGATATCGTGGATATGATGCCCGAAGGCATTAAGCAGAATAAAGCAAGAACTATTTTGCAACATCTTTCCGAGGCATGGAGATGCTGGAAAGCCAATATTCCGTGGAAGGTACCAGGATTACCGATTCCAATTGAAAATATGATTTTGAGGTACGTTAAAATGAAAGCCGATTGGTGGACTAACACCGCTCATTACAATCGTGAGAGAATCAGGAGAGGCGCAACCGTCGATAAAACTGTATGTAAAAAGAATTTGGGTAGATTAACTAGATTGTTCTTGAAAGCAGAACAAGAAAGACAACATAATTATTTGAAAGATGGACCTTACATCTCACCCGAAGAAGCTGTAGCTATCTATACAACGACTGTACATTGGTTGGAATCCAGAAGATTCGCACCAATTCCTTTTCCACCGCTTTCTTACAAGCACGACACAAAGTTACTTATTTTGGCTTTGGAACGTCTGAAAGAAGCATACAGCGTTAAATCACGTCTGAATCAAAGTCAACGTGAAGAATTGGGTTTAATTGAACAAGCGTACGATAATCCTCACGAGGCATTATCAAGAATTAAACGTCATTTACTTACACAGCGACAGTTCAAGGAAGTTGGAATTGAATTCATGGATTTGTACAGTCATTTGATACCTGTATACGACGTCGAACCGTTGGAGAAGATAACGGATGCTTATTTAGATCAATATCTTTGGTATGAAGCAGACAAACGTAGATTATTTCCACCATGGGTTAAACCTGCAGATACTGAACCTCCACCATTACTCGTGTACAAATGGTGCCAAGGTATTAATAATTTGGAAGATGTCTGGGATGTATCTGAAGGCGAATGCAATGTTCTGCTTGAATCTAAATTCGAAAAACTGTACGAAAAAATTGATTTAACATTGCTGAATCGACTTTTGCGGTTGATTGTTGATCACAATATTGCTGATTATATGACGGCGAAGAATAACGTTGTGATCAATTACAAGGATATGAACCATACGAACAGTTATGGTATTATAAGAGGTTTACAGTTTGCCTCATTCATTACCCATTATTATGGGTTGGTACTTGATCTTCTAGTACTTGGTTTACAAAGGGCAAGCGAGATTGCTGGACCTCCACAGATGCCCAACGACTTTTTGACCTTCCAAGATGTCGCGACAGAAACAACGCATCCGATCCGATTGTACTGCAGATATGTTGATAGAATACACATATTCTTTAGATTTTCTGCTGATGATGCGAGAGAATTAATCCAACGCTACTTAACCGAACATCCAGATCCTAATAATGAAAACATTGTTGGTTATAACAACAAGAAATGTTGGCCAAGAGATGCACGTATGAGACTTATGAAGCACGATGTAAATTTAGGTCGTGCCGTATTCTGGGACATTAAAAATCGTCTGCCACGATCTGTAACCACAATCCAATGGGAAAACAGTTTCGTCAGTGTATATTCTAAAGATAATCCCAACTTGCTCTTCAATATGAGTGGTTTTGAATGCAGAATTCTACCGAAGAGCAGAACTCAACATGAGGAAACAACCGCCAGCGATGGTATTTGGAATTTACAACACGAAAATACAAAACAACGTACGGCTCAGTGTTTCTTGCGAGTCGATGATGAATCTATGGGAAGGTTCCATAACAGAGTGCGACAAATATTGATGGCTTCCGGATCAACAACTTTCACAAAAATTGTGAACAAGTGGAATACAGCTTTAATTGGTCTTATGACATACTTCAGGGAAGCTGTCACCAATACACAAGAATTGTTGGATCTCCTGGTGAAATGTGAAAATAAAATCCAAACACGTATTAAGATTGGTTTGAACTCGAAAATGCCTAGCAGATTCCCGCCTGTGGTATTCTATACACCAAAGGAATTGGGTGGACTTGGTATGCTTTCGATGGGTCACGTACTTATACCCCAATCGGATTTGAGATGGTCCAAACAAACAGATGTTGGTATTACGCATTTCCGTTCAGGTATGAGCCACGATGAGGATGAATTAATTCCTAATTTATACCGATATGTGAAGGCATGGGAATCTGAGTTTATTGATTCACAGAGAGTATGGGCAGAGTATGCGCTGAAGAGGCAAGAAGCTAACGCACAAAATAGACGTCTAACTTTGGAAGACTTGGAAGATTCATGGGATAGAGGAATTCCTAGAATTAATACGCTTTTCCAAAAGGACAGGCATACCTTAGCTTACGATAAGGGATGGAGAATCAGAACAGAATTCAAACAATATCAAGTTCTTAAGCAAAATCCATTCTGGTGGACACATCAAAGACACGACGGTAAATTATGGAATTTGAATAATTATCGTACAGACATGATTCAATCTTTGGGAGGTGTAGAGGGCATTCTTGAACACACATTATTTAAGGGAACTTATTTCCCTACATGGGAAGGTCTTTTCTGGGAAAAGGCTTCTGGATTTGAAGAGTCCATGAAGTATAAGAAACTTACCAATGCCCAGCGGTCCGGTTTGAACCAAATTCCGAACCGTCGTTTCACCCTATGGTGGTCACCTACTATCAACAGAGCTAATGTTTACGTGGGTTTCCAGGTCCAACTTGATTTAACTGGAATTTTCATGCACGGTAAAATTCCAACCTTGAAGATTTCTTTGATTCAGATCTTCAGAGCCCATTTATGGCAGAAAGTCCATGAATCTATAGTCATGGATTTGTGTCAAGTATTCGATCAGGAACTTGATGCACTTGAAATTGAAACTGTTCAAAAGGAAACTATCCATCCTAGGAAATCATACAAAATGAACTCGTCCTGTGCTGATATTTTGCTTTTCTCTGCATATAAATGGAATGTTTCTCGTCCATCTTTGTTAGCTGACACAAAAGATACAATGGATAACACGACAACTCAAAAATACTGGATTGATGTACAATTGAGGTGGGGTGATTACGATTCACACGATGTTGAAAGATATGCCAGAGCTAAATATCTGGATTATACTACTGATAACATGTCTATTTATCCATCACCAACTGGAGTTTTAATAGCTATTGATTTAGCTTACAATCTTCATAGTGCATATGGACATTGGTTCCCAGGCTGCAAACCTTTGATTCAACAGGCTATGGCTAAAATCATGAAAGCCAATCCAGCTTTGTATGTACTCAGGGAACGTATTCGAAAAGCTTTACAATTGTACTCCAGTGAGCCGACAGAACCTTACTTATCCAGTCAGAATTATGGTGAACTGTTCTCTAATCAAATTATTTGGTTCGTCGATGATACAAACGTATATCGTGTAACTATCCATAAGACATTTGAAGGAAATTTAACAACGAAACCAATCAATGGAGCTATTTTCATATTCAATCCGCGAACTGGACAACTTTTCCTTAAAATTATCCACACCTCAGTTTGGGCTGGACAGAAGCGTCTTGGACAATTGGCAAAATGGAAAACCGCTGAAGAAGTTGCAGCTTTGATCCGATCACTTCCGGTAGAAGAACAACCGAAACAAATTATTGTCACTCGTAAAGGCATGTTGGATCCACTCGAAGTCCATCTTCTTGATTTCCCAAATATCGTGATTAAGGGATCCGAATTACAGTTGCCTTTCCAAGCTTGCTTGAAGATTGAGAAGTTTGGTGATTTAATCCTTAAAGCAACTGAACCGCAGATGGTTCTCTTCAATTTATATGATGATTGGTTAAAGACTATCAGTTCATACACTGCTTTCTCACGTTTGATCTTGATTCTTCGTGCTTTGCATGTAAATACAGAGAGAACAAAAGTAATTTTGAAACCTGATAAGACGACGATTACCGAACCTCATCACATTTGGCCGTCCCTTTCAGACGACGAATGGATTAAAGTTGAAGTACAATTGAAGGATCTTATTTTGGCTGATTACGGAAAGAAGAACAATGTTAATGTTGCTTCATTGACACAATCAGAAATTCGAGATATCATTCTCGGTATGGAAATTAGCGCTCCATCCGCCCAGAGGCAACAGATTGCTGAAATTGAGAAACAAACCAAGGAACAATCGCAACTTACTGCTACAACTACACGAACGGTCAACAAACACGGTGATGAAATTATTACGAGTACCACAAGTAATTATGAAACACAAACGTTCAGTTCTAAAACCGAATGGAGGGTCAGGGCTATATCTGCTACAAACTTACATCTGAGAACCAACCATATTTACGTCAGTTCAGATGATATTAAAGAAACTGGATATACATATATTCTTCCGAAGAATGTACTTAAGAAGTTTATTACAATTTCCGATTTAAGAGCACAGGTAAGTTTCGATCTCATTTACCTGTCTTGAATAATTATATAATTGGTGTTTGTTTATCTACAGATTTGTGCCTTCCTTTATGGCGTAAGTCCACCGGACAATCCTCAAGTCAAGGAGTTGAGATGTTTAGTGCTACCGCCGCAATGGGGAACTCATCAAACGGTTCATTTACCTACTAATCCGCCCACTCATCCATTCCTTAAAGACATGGAACCTCTAGGATGGATTCATACACAACCCAATGAATTGCCGCAACTTTCACCGCAAGACATTAACACGCATTCGCGATTAATGGATGAAAATTCCAATTGGGATGGCGAAAAAACTATTATCATTACGTCTTCATTTACACCTGGTTCATGCTCTTTGACTGCTTACAAATTGACACCATCAGGATTCGAATGGGGAAAACAAAATACTGATAAGGGCAATAATCCCAAGGGTTACCTACCCAGTCACTACGAGAAAGTACAAATGTTACTATCTGACAGATTCTTAGGGTTCTTCATGGTACCTTCACAGGGTAGTTGGAATTATAACTTCATGGGTAAGCAATTGTGCCTACAAAATAACGTATTTGTTTGCTAATTCTCTTTGTTGTTATTTTAGGTGTACGACATGATCCTAGTATGAAATATGATTTGCAATTGGCCAATCCAAAAGAGTTCTATCATGAGGTTCACAGACCAGCTCATTTCCTTAATTTTTCATCTCTGGAAGATGGCGATGGTGCTGGGGCCGATAGAGAAGATGCGTTCGCCTAACAGTTTTTTTACGTTATTTTTATATTTTGAAATTTGGACTATTTTAGTTGTTTAGATTTAATTTAAGATTATTGTAAATAAATTATATTAAAAACAAGTATATTCCTTTCATTATTAAACATTTCAAATATTGAATTGCAGCCAGTTCTTGCTAGTTATTCATTATTTTATTTATATATCTTCATTTTGTCCAAAAATATATCAGTCTAATAGTAGCTCTATTAGTCCATAAAGATATATGTATTTTATATGTATTAGAAAAGGTATTATTCACTTTAGCAATAATCATATTTCTTCTTCTTCCTTCCCCATTTTCATTTGGCTTCCGCATTACGCGCCAATAAGCCAGAATAATCATATTTAAGCCTATAGATTAGCAACATATCTATTAAGACACATGCATGTGCTTCCAAGAACCGCATGCGGCTCCCATTAAATTTTATTTTTTCACCTAAACCGTTTGCCGTGTGTACGCCGTAAAATTTGACCAAAGATTCTTGTATACTTTTTATTAATATTTTTATTTATTATATTTGACTTTTATTACTAAAATTTTAAATAATTATATTTAATTGTTTTAAGTTCTTATGTTTTGTTTGTTTTTGGTTGGTGAACCTGGATAGTTTATTTTATACCAGCGGTTTCCAAACTGGGAGGCGCCAAAATTTTTAATAAATTAATT